TAGCTTTATTGTGTTATATCAAGTGTTTGAGGTTTTGATGACAAATTAGAAGTTGAGTTGATGTTATTTGTGATTAAACTCCTTGAGCTAAACAAGTGGAAGTAAGGTTGGTTGTATGGCATGCCATGTGTTTGATTCTTTGTCTATGCTTTGTTTATGGTTTTCCTTAATGTATTAACATGTTATTTAAGTTAAGTTAAACAAGTGCAATGTTGTTTAAGTTAACAATAATGAAAGGATGGAGGTTGGAGTTGAATGTGAACTTGGGGACTGTTTTCTTTCTCTTTGCTGTCCAGCCATGGAGTGGAGGTTTTGCCTTGATCTTTGTGACTTATTGAACCTTAATTAAGTTTAAGAAAACTTGGTTAAATATTGGTCTAAGCTTATGTGTGAGTTGAGGTGAAATAGAGCAAGTAAAGTAGTTGTTTTGGACAAGATAGCGGACTGTTTTGGTTCTTCATTGTTGGCTGGATTGTCTTGGTTCATTTCCTCATTTTGTGTGTTGAATTTAAAGCTTAAATGGTGCTATTTAACTTGACCCCTGTATTATAAACTTTAAAGGATTGAATTGGATGAATTTGAGCCAAAATGAATGAGATTAGAAAGGAGAAATGGGGTAAATTTTGTCAATGTATTGAGCTGATCAGAGTAGAAAAATCAGTCAACTTCCCCGAACTTCTGGTATTGATAGGAGAGGAACTAGAGTTTGCATTTTCTACAGTGAGATATGGCCGTTTTTCCGAGATTGCGCGACTGTTTACCCGCAAAGACGCTTTTGAACTTGAATAAGACTTTTCTTTTGCTCAACTTTCTTGCACTTGTCAAACTCCTTTTCTTATGACTTTTTCTTACATTTTGGGCCTAACTTGCATGGTAAATTGAGTCAATTAACAATTCACTTGGTCACCTAATGAACTTACGTTTGGGTTGACAAATGAACCTAGATTGTTAACGATTTTCACTTGTTGCCCTAGGACTGGGAAACGGAGGTGAGCGTAACCAAGGAACTTGATGAACAAGCTCTGCATTTCTTAACAGGTGAGTGTTCCACTGCCTGTTCCCTGTCTATGTGAGATATCTGAATACTTGATCTATGATTGTTTGATCTAAACATTTGATTTGACAAATTTGAGGTGAGCGTATACTTTATCACACTCGACCTCTTTCGATTCCACTGAGGCTCTGTATGTGAAAACCCTCACTTTAAAATACAAATTTTCCTAAACTACTTGCCTTGCACTAGGATTAAATCACTTGAAACATTTCCTTGCATTGTATTTTATTGCTCTTGCTTGAATTGTAACATTTCCTAGACTTGCCAATTTTTTTTATGTAGTTCACTAGATATATTTGGCCAAATATCCTTTATTTGTGGTTGGAACTTTATATGATAGTTTAGAGGTGTTAAATAGACATTGAAACATTTGGAGTGTAGAAACTTTATTAGTCAAAGATTAAGGGAAAAAGGGCCAAGATTGGGCCATGTGGCAAAACCCTAACCATCCACCTTGTTTGACCAAAGGATTAGAGGAAATTTAAACCATCTTAGAGCCATTATTTCCCTATCTTGGCCGACCCTCTTGAAGCTTCCAAGGGAAGGAAGAAAACTCCATCTTCTTGCTTTTTAAATCCTAACTTGATCTTGAACAAAAATCAAAAGAGAAAAGGCTTGAGTTAGTGGAGTGAACAACCTTCAACCCTAGTGTGTGTTTCAAGCTTGGAGCTTTGGTTTTGGTGGTTTGTTTTGGTGGTTCAAGATTCACATAAGAGAGGTATATGGCTCTTAAATCCTAGCTTTCTTGTGTTATATCATGTGTTTTGAGTTTTGATGGTAAACTAGGAGTTGAAAGGATGTTGTTTGTGGTTAAAATTCTTGAACTAAACAAGTGATAGTAGGGTTGGTTGTTTTGCATGCCATGTGTTTGATGAATTGCTTGAGCTTTTTTCATAGCTTTCCTTCATGTATTCACATGTTTTGGACCCTTTTTGAGTTAAAGATAACACTTAGTATGATGTTTAAATTAACTACAATGAAAGGATGAAGGTTGGTGATATAAGTGAACTAGTGGACTGTTTTGTTTACTCTTGGCTGACCGGTTTTGTAGGAGAGGTTTCTCCTTGATTTTGTGGTTCATTTGCACCTTATTTAAGCCTAAAAAACATGAATAAACATTGGTTTAAGGTTTGGTGTGAGTTAAAATGGAAATTAAGTAAGAAAAGTGGTTGTTTTGAGCAAGTAGTGGACTGTTTTGGTTCCTTTGATTGGCTAGACTGTTTTGGCTCTTTTAATCCATTATGCGTGTTGCATTTTGAGCTCCAATGTTACTAGGTAACTTGCTTCCCTGTATATGAACCCTAGGAGATTGATTTGGATGAATTTGAATCAAAACAAGTGAAGTTAGCATCAAGAACTAATGTAACTTTGCTAGGGTTTTAGAGCTGATTAGAACTAGAAAATCAGCCAACTTCCCCGGATCACTGGTACTGATAGGAGACGAACTAGAGTATGAATTTGGTACTGTTGGAAAGCCCTTTGAGTCTAGTTTCCTACACTGCTAACGACACCTGATTCCGACCTTCCTATAGTGAGATATGGCCATTTTTCCAAGACTGCGCGGGCACGACTGTTTTACCCGCAAAGACCATCTTGAACTTAAATGAGATTTTTCTTTTGCTCAACTTTCTTGCACTTATCAAACTTTTTTTCTCATGACCTTTTACTGCATTTTGGGCCTAACTTGCATGGTGAATCGAGTGAATTTAACCACTCACTTGGTCACCTAATGAACTCATATTTGGGTTGGAAATGAACCTAGATTGTTAACGATTTCACTCGTTGCCCTAGGATTGGGAAACGGAGGTGAACATAACCAAGGAACTTGACGTTTGATCACTACATTGCCTGAAAGGTGAGTGTTCCACTACCTGTTAACTGTCTATGTGAAATATCTGAATACTTGATTTGCGACCGTTTGAGCCAAACATTGTTTTGATAAAAATTGAGGCGACCGTGTATTTTATCGCACTCGACCTCCCTCGTTTCTACTGAGGCTCTGTATGCTGCTATTATGAGATGTGATTTCTCTATATATGACTGTGTTTGAGTTATTTGGGTGATTCCCCATCAAATACTATTACTATTTGGGTACCCAACCTCATAAGTGAGTCGGTTGTATCGAACCAGTAAGGGCTTGGTCGAGAAGGCCGAAAAACCTTGAGGACTGTTTACTGAAAACTAGAAACTGGTATACTCAAGTATTGCCTACTTACTGTTTGAGGAGTTCGGGCCCGGTAAGGGGGTTGATTGGTGGACGGGATTTGGAGAAAGTTGTGTTCTACGGAGATTGTATGCTTTAGATGCAAACGTTGACGGAGAGTCAACGGATTCTTGTATGATCAAGTTCAAGGGGATTTGGCTTTTGGAAGCCACTCATATTCTTGAATTGAACTGTGATTAAATTATATAGAACAATACTGTGTTTACTTGTTTACATTACATCTTTATTTGGTTATGTGCTTACATGTTTATTTGGAACCTCACTGAGTTTTAGTTCACCCCACTTCTTTTGTTTTCCTTAACAGATCTGGGATGGATCTATGGTCAAGAGCTTTTATAACTTTATCTTTTATTTTGAACTTGTACTTTGGATTGTAACTTTTTGTTTAGAAGACCTTAATTTTGACTCTTGTAAGCTTGAATTCATAAGTTCGACGTATGTATGTAAACTAAGTGTGGAATGGTAAGTTTGATACTTAGCTCGATATTCTAAATTTGGAAAGTTGGCGTGGTGATTATAATCCCATTAGGGTTTGTATTCCTTTTCTTGAAGATATTGTGTTAGTTATATTGAGTTACTAGTTCTTTAATCGACCGAGCCCAGACGAGAGTTGGGCAGACAGTCCACTGATACCTTGGGGTTCGCCCTAGGGAGAGGTGGGGCTGTCACAGGTGGTATTAGAGCCTAGGTTTGAATTGGCCTGGGCGTGTTAGAAGTTTTGACTTTAGGGTTATGCTTGATTATTTTCCCTTTAGAGTACTTAAGTTGTATCTACACTTTGTGTAGGATGGACGGACATAGTGACCCTAGCGATAAAGATGAAGGCGCACAGCCTCGTGCTCCATTACCTATGTTTAGATACCAGATTCAGTCAGGAGGAGCTGTCGTGCATTGGAGTCCAGCCAACCGCCATCGGCATTGCAAGTGCCGCCATACTTATGCCTATCCCAATACGGTAGTTCTGGCTGTGGTGGAGGAGAGAAAGGCTCTAGCAAAGGATAACGCTAGGCTTGAAGCTGAAGTGAATCAGTTAAAGGAAACTATTAAGATGCAAGTCGATCGGATCAAAGAACTTGAGTATGATGTAGTTGAGGGTCTAGAAAGGGTTGATGACCTCTGTGCGCAGCTCGGAGAAGCTCAGGAGCGCATTGTTAAGGGGGCCATGAAAGTGAGGAATAGAGCGGAGTTCATTCTAAATATTTGTGATGACCTACTTGGAGATGTGAGCGATGAGGCTTCCCACATCGGAGGCGAGGCAGGAGCTGAACCTGCCCAGGATGGAGGGTCAGCCAGTCCCATGGCGGACTGAGCCTTGACTGTTAGGTTACTATTATGGGTGATTTTGACCTTTGTAAATAGAAATGATAGGGGATGTGGTGACTTGGTGGTTGTACAGTTTTCTTTTCACTACGTACACTGGCTTTTGCATGACATGACTTGATGAACTGTGTCTGTACTTTTGAGACTCGTACTTGATACGTTTGGCCTTGTTAGCTTGTAAATGACTGCTATGAGCCTTTGAATATATAATACTTTGACTTTGACCTTGACTTTGACTTGACTTTATTTCGAATTGGCATTTTCTGTTTTGTATTTTCACTTGCTTATCGTGATTCCGATTTCAATTTTTTTTTGAATTTCGATTGTGAATAAGTATATATTATACACCAATATTTGTTACCCATTAGTTATAATACTTGGATCCTAGACCAGTGAGTGATAATGGAAGGTAGACGACAATATGGTTGGGGCCGTCGGCGTGGATCCAGGCAAACCCAGGACCAAGAGAAGGAACAAGGGTCAGTAGCAAACCAGAACCAGGGACCCAGAGGTAAAGGAGGGGACCAGGTTGATACAACTATCAATGGTATGACTGATTTATTAGCTCGATTGGTTGACCAGCAAGGTCAAGTACCTAGTAACCAGCAAAGAGACCCTGAAATTGGTGAAGACAGGGCCCTTGAACGATTCCAAAAGTTCGCTCCTCCTAAATTTTTTGGAGGACCAGATCCCGAAGTTGCCGAGAACTGGTTTGAAAGAATGGTGGACATCTTTGCTGCATTGCACTACACAGAGAAAAGGCAAGTAACCTTCGTCGTTTTCCAGTTGGAAGGCGCAGCCCGTTCCTGGTGGAACGTAGTGAGGGCAAAGTGGGACAGGGAGCAAACTCCCCGTACTTGGTTTAATTTCACTAGGGAGTTTAACGAGAAGTTCCTCCCGCCTTTAATCCAGGAGAAAAGAGAGGATGAATTTATCAAACTGCGCCAAGGCACTTCGAGTGTGGCGGAGTACGAGACCCAGTTTATGTAGTTCACTAGATATATTTGGCAAAATATGTAACGACCCCACCTCCCCCTAAGGCGTACCAGAGGGTTCGGCGGGCCGCCTGCCCAGTTCTCGCCGGGACTCAGTCGTTCGCTACAGTCCTCAATTAAAAATTGAAATAAATCACAAGAATAAATAGGGCATTGATCCAAACTTAAAGCGGAACTTATATACATTGCCAACCCAAAAGAGAATATAAACATCAAATATACAAGGGTTCTCAATCCTTCATACATCCAGCCCGTGCCAAGCACTAGGCGAGAACCACTACAAAAGAAACAAAACTAGATTGGCTAGTCTGTCTCAAGCTCACGTCCTCGCTCGCCTTCCCCTGTAAGGAAAACAAAACTAAAGGGATGAGCTAAAAGCCCAGTGAGGTTCCAAACACATAATCAGATAATCAATCCAATACATTAAACATGGAGTATCAATAATTCAAGAAACATTTACAATGGAAAGCGATAGTAACACATTCATTAAAAGGATACGGCTCACAAGGAGCAATTCGTTATTTCATTCATTCGTTCTCCTGACATTTCCCCTTGTTCCTCCAATCATTTGAAACTGTATTTTTCGTTTATCAATAACCCTCGTTCGATCATTCGTTCATTCATTCATTCATTCACCCCCGTCCTGGCCGTTGGCCAGTCTCCACCAACCTACAGGGTAATACTCGAGTATACCAAACGTTCACCCAAGTCCCTAATCGCCCGACCGAGTCCGCTTCTGGCTCGAGACGACCGGTAACAAGGGGCAATGGCCAGTTCAGCCCAAGAGGCTTACATTCATGCGCAAGTAACATTTCAATCATTAAATCCTTGAAAATTGCACAGTTATTTAGGTCGAGTGCGATAAAGTACACACTCGCCTAGGAAGCTCGTTTTGGAAATCATTAAAAGCACTTAACACATTAGCAAATGATAACAACAAGCCATAGAATCAAATAAGGAACACTCACCTAGAAATGCAAAATATCGTGCAAAATATCCTTCCGGATATTACCCTTAATCACCAATGAAACCTAAGGTTGAACAAGAGAACATATTACAGTTTATCGAGCAAAACATTTAAGGGAAACAAACAAACCTGACTAATTAGGAGTAAAACGTGTAAAGATAATTTTCAAGTAAGAAGAGGGTTGTTTGAACCCACGGATGAAAAATCATGTTTTAAAATGGAAAACCGGTCATGGTATTGGCCAAACAAAAGTATACAAGTTCAAATAGAAACCTAGCCCTCGGGCGAAAATTTGGGCAGTACGCCCTTTGTGTTTACCTAATTTTCCAGCCATTTTGGCTTCATTATTTTTCCTCAACCACAACCCAACATCACACATAAGAAATTCAAGTCAAGAGCCGTTCCATAGGCTCACAATATCATAAGAATAAGAAATACAGTAATAAGAAGTGCAGAAATTCAATTTAGCAAAAGACAGATTTGACGTGCGAATGCGGAAATAACATATCTGAGGCTACGCTTATCGGATTAAGACGTAACCTATGCCGTTTCGAAGCTAAGACACAGGGCTATAATGTTCATGAAGGTCACTTAGTCCAGTTTCTAATGTAACTTGGTCAAATTCTCAAATTACTAAACCAGAAACCAATTCGTCGGCTGTTTAAACGCAGACACTGTAATAGTCATAACTCAGTGTACAAAAGTCCAATTCAGGTGTTCTTAGAGGAATTTGAAAGCTAAGACAGAACACTAAAACTTTCATGTTTTGGAAAAAAGCTAAATCCGAATGGGTCCTAGTGAAAAAACGTGATAAACTGGACAAACTGATGAAACGGACTGCTGGGGAAATACTTAAAACAGGAAGGGTATTTTGGACTTTTCACATCCTACGTTGCTCCGATTGAGTTGAAATTTTGTAGGCACCTATAAAATACCATTCGCTACAACTTTCCTTCTTTGACCTAAGGCCAAATCGGCCTCTAACATACAGATATAAATTCGGACAGAATGTTGGGGAAAATTTCCAGATTCTGGAATTTCTAGTTTTTAGTGGAACTTTCCTTAATTTCTCACTCCAATCACTACCAAAACACCTTATAAAACCTCAATTGCAACATATAAGCATCATGCAACAAATTAGGCAGAATTTCCCCAAACCCTAGTTCATGAAATAAAAAGGGGAAAACTACTAAAACATGATAATCATCCATGATTCCACCACTAAATCAAGTTGCTAAGCTTAATTTAACAAGATTAAAAGTAAAACTTAGAGAGATAAGCTTTCTTACCTTGTCTAGAGGTCACTAAGAGTAGCCCAAGCTTTCTCCTTCAAAAAACTCACCACAACTCACTAACTAGTCACTCAAGAACAAGTTTAATCGGTTTATTTTGTTTGATTCCTCACTAAGTTGTTGGATTGAAGATGAAATGAAATGTTTTCCTTTGGTGTTTTCCCTCTTCTCTCTCTCGGCCAGCAGCAACAAAATGAAGAGGAAAAATGCTAAGTTTTGGAGTTAAATGGATGGTCTTGGTCTTGGGTCAAGAAGCCTTGAGGTGGCGACAAGTGTCGCCACCACTACCTTTCTTTTTTTCTCTTTCTTTCTTGTTATTTCCTAACCTCAAATTCGGTCAAGCTTGCTGCCAAGAGAGAAGATATTTTGCTCAAGTTCAATAAATTTGTTTGGTAAGGAAATGGTGGTCAAGTGGTGCGTTCAATCGGTAGTGCGCGGGACCCGCCGGTTCGCGCCGTTTTTCTTAAAAACACACGTACTAGGGTTTTTAATTTCTTTTCACTAACTTTTATTCATTGCTTCTAATCACATATTATTTCTCACTTAAAAGTCACTTTTAATCACCAAATTGAATCCTTACTCTGTACCGAAAATTCATCCGGCGAAAAAATGGCGAAAACCCTAATTTTGCTCCAAACTTGAAACCGAAGCGTAAAACCCTATTTTCTAGGTTTACTTACACTTATTGTGAAATAATTGGGTAGTGGGCTTTGATAAATAATAATTTTCAAATAAAAGGGTATTTTTGAGAAAAATACAAGAAATTTGCGAGTCCTCACAAAATATTCTTTATTTGTGGTTGGGACTTTATATGATAGTTTAGAGTTGTTAAATAGACATTGGAACATTTGGAGTGTAGAAACTTTATTAGTCAAAGATTAAGGGAAGAAAGGGCCAAGATTGGGCCATGTGGCAAAACCCTAACCATCCACCTTGTCTGACCAAAGGATTAGAGGAAATTTAAACCATCTTAGAGCCATTATTTCCCTATCTTGGCCGACCCTCTTGAAGCTTCCAAGGGAAGGAAGAAAACTCCATCTTCTTGCTTTTTAAATCCTAACTTGATCTTGAACAAAAATCAAAAGAGAAAAGGCTTGAGTTAGTGGAGTGAACAACCTTCAACCCTAGTGTGTGTTTCAAGCTTGGAGCTTTGGTTTTGGTGGTTTGTTTTGGTGGTTCAAGATTCACATAAGAGAGGTATATGGCTCTTAAATCCTAGCTTTCTTGTGTTATATCATGTGTTTTGAGTTTTGATGGTAAACTAGGAGTTGAAAGGATGTTGTTTGTGGTTAAAATTCTTGAACTAAACAAGTGATAGTAGGGTTGGTTGTTTTGCATGCCATGTGTTTGATGAATTGCTTGAGCTTTTTTCATAGCTTTCCTTCATGTATTCACATGTTTTGGACCCTTTTTGAGTTAAAGATAACATTTGGTATGATGTTTAAATTAACTACAATGAAAGGATGAATGTTGGTGATATAAGTGAACTAGTGGACTGTTTTGTTTACTCTTGGCTGACCGGTTTTGTAGGAGAGGTTTCTCCTTGATTTTGTGGTTCATTTGCACCTTATTTAAGCCTAAAAAACATGAATAAACATTGGTTTAAGGTTTGGTGTGAGTTAAAATGGAAATTAAGTAAGAAAAGTGGTTGTTTTGAGCAAGTAGTGGACTGTTTTGGTTCCTTTGATTGGCTAGACTGTTTTGGCTCTTTTAATCCATTATGCGTGTTGCATTTTGAGCTCCAATGTTACTAGGTAACTTGCTTCCCTGTATATGAACCCTAGGAGATTGATTTGGATGAATTTGAATCAAAACAAGTGAAGTTAGCATCAAGAACTAATGTAACTTTGCTAAGAACTAATGTAACTTTGCTAGGGTTTTAGAGCTGATTAGAACTTGAAAATCAGCCAACTTCCCTGGATCACTGGTACTGATAGGAGACGAACTAGAGTGTGAATTTGGTACTGTTGGAAAGCCCTTTGAGTCTAGTTTCCTACACTGCTAACGACACCTGATTCCGACCTTCCTATAGTGAGATATGGTCATTTTTCCAAGACTGCGCGGACACGACTGTTTTACCCGCAAAGACCATCTTGAACTTAAATGAGATTTTGCTTTTGCTCAACTTTCTTGCACTTATCAAACTTGTTTTCTCATGACCTTTTACTGCATTTTGGGCCTAACTTGCATGGTGAATCGAGTGAATTTAACCACTCACTTGGTCACCTAATGAACTCATATGTGGGTTGGAAATGAACCTAGATTGTTAACGATTTCACTCGTTGCCCTAGGATTGGGAAACGGAGGTGAACGTAACCAAGGAACTTGACGTTTGATCACTACATTGCTTGACGTTTGTGGTAAGCATGTACTTTATTGCACTCGACCTCCCTCGTTTCCACTGAAGCTCTGTATACTGCTATTATGAGATGTGATTTCTTTATATGTGACTGTGTTTGAGTTGTTTGGGTGATACCCCATCAACGATTGTTACTGTTTGGGTACCCAACCTCATAGGTGAGTCGATTGTATCGAACCAGCAAGGGCTTGGTCGAGAAGGCCGGCAAACCTTAAGAACTGTTGATGCGAACCCGAATCCCCAAGCTCCCCCTCTTGAAGAAACGAATTGCACAGGCAGCGGAAGGATCTATCTTGATTAGGCTATGGACAAAATTGGTGGATTCTAAACCAATCAAGGACAACTCGAGATTGATTAGAAGGGTAGAATGCGTCACA